AGGGCTAAACTCATGACAAATGAGGGAGAAAGAGTTGCAGGCATCCTTGGTGTGTCCTCATTGGAATACTCCTGCTGAGCATTTTCTCCACTATGCAGCCAGTCTTTTTTTTCCCTACCAAAGTACAAAAAAAGATGAAGTTGAATAATCATCTACATTTCTAATCTCAGCTAAAAGCTCAAGGTTGTCTTGCATTAGTTTATGTAATAAATGTTTTACACACTCTCAGTCTGTAAATAGCCTTGCTGTGTGTGTGTGTGTGTGTGTATATATGTATATATACACACACTTTGGTACATAGACTTTTGTGTGTCACATGTGATAGCCACCATGGATGCCCTTATATCTTTTCAGCACCTTGTATTTTATAAAGTAAATCCAAAGAGATGTACCCTGCAGGAACACTGTGTGGAAGAAGATATCTGTGGGTTCCTGAAGTTTAAGAGTGATTGTCAGTAACCTCTTACTCTCCATTAACTCCAAGAATCTTGATCCTAAGCAATGCCTGAGACAGACTGATCCAATTCAAACACATTCTACCTGTGTGGACACCAAGAGCAAATTTTCATTCCAGTCACTGAAGTAGGGCCAGCTGTACTGCTACTTGACGGAAGGCATGGCAGATGTGCAGAATAGCACCTCTCCCAACTGTTTGAACATTCAAAATTGACACCACCTTACCTTGGCAGACCCAAAAAATTTTGCACAGAGCAGATGGAAAAGCTTATCTTGGGACAGAATATCAGACTTGTTCAGAACCATGCTCCTCAGACCACCAAATTCTCCAGGTCCTGGCAACTTGCTACAATGTTTCTTTACCCTTTCCTCCCCACAAAATCCTCTCCTACAGCCCCCAACAAGATATAAACCTTACCTCTTTTTAATGTCAACTCCCACTGAGTGAACCTTTCCCAAGCATACGTAAGTAAGTATCATTCCCTTCTGATTCAACCTAGCCCAGAGGACTCCATGCAACTAAGGATAAGCATATCAGCCTGGTGGACAAAGTTTTATTAAAAGTTCCATAAATCCATGGTTCCCTGAAAAACCTCCAAGTACAGGGCATTACCATCATGACAGAAACACAGAAACTTGCAGAATCCAGTGTCTTCTGGAGTCAGGTGTAATAGACTAACAAGTCCCCTCATCATTGGTGAGTGATATGACTAATAGAAGTAAATAGAAATAGTTCCTTGTCTGAAGAGGTCTAGGTCTATCAAAAATATATACATTAAGCATGCTGTTGCAGTTCCTGGGGGGGGGGGGGGGTAGTGGCTATTGAAATAGAAACTTCCCTTGTGCTCTTGAAGGAGGTTGCAGGTAAAATGACCACAATTTCAGGAACATGGATCACATTCGATGTGGCTAATGCTATCTACTCACAGAAGAAGTTCTAGACACTAGTCATACAGAACCTTGGTACAACATGCCAAAATTCACATCATATGATTAAGTTTAGTACTGGTGGTGATTCTATGTTTTTGTAATGAGTCTGCTAAATCCAGAGGACTCTCAAACTATCATGGTAAGAAAGATGACACCACCCTATTATATTATAGGGTGGAACAGATGGGTGACGAAAAATTCTCCATTCTTGTATTTGATCAGTAAAGAGTTGAAGATCTTGCACACACAAGTTCATCAGCAATAGAGCAAACAAGTTTATTCTTGCAAAAGTTCACTGCAGGGAGTAGAAGTGGGGCTATTACTTGAGCCAGAGTCAACCCCATTATTCTTAAGCAATTGTTTCTGTACTATTGTCTTAGGGTGCAATAGTAACTACATCATATTGGAATGGGATTTTAGGTGGGATTTGGGTAGGAAGTTGGCAGTTGCTGGATTATATCATTAGATTGTTTTTGTGTACACACAAGCTCAGAAAGACCCTCTTGCCTATTGTCCTTTATTTTTACCATGTTTCCCCAAACTTTAGTTTTGTTCTTATTGAGCCTGAGACTCGGATTCATCTCCTTGAACTTGCTGAGCTGCCAAGCTAACACTTCAACTCTCACTGCCTAGTTTTTAAACCTATCATCCCACGCTCATGAAGTCTCTCAAATAGAGGGTAACAACAAGAGACTCAGAAAAGTTGGGAACATGCAATCTCTGAAACATCTGATCTTTGCAGAACAGGCATTATTGATGGATTTATCAGCCTTTAGTGTAACGTGTTCAAGTTTTATGCTAAGGTGGATGATTATAGATCCAGATTCACTAACTATTAATTTTTCTATCTTGGGTAATTCATTGGACTGGAGCGATAGCACAGTGGTAGGGAGTTTGCCTTGCAAGCCACCGGCCTGGCCAAGTCAGGTTTAATTCCTCTGCCCGTCTCGGAGAGCCCAGCAAGCTACCAAGAGTATTTCGCCTTCATGGCAAAGCCTAGCAAGCTACCCATGATGTATTTGATATGCCAAACACAGTAACAGTAAGTCTCACAATGGAAGACGTTACTGGGCCCGCTCAAGCAAATTGATGAACAACAGGAGGACGGTGCTATGGTGCTACGGTGGGTAATTGAGCACAATGATCTCTATTGCTTTTTTATTCGGAGAGTATGTTAATGATCTTTTCACAATTTTTTTTATAAAATTAAGAAGAAAATGTCTGGCATAACCACTGGTAGAATTGAAACTTTAAAAAACATAAATTATTTTTTTTTCCTTCTCTCCCTTTTCCTAAACTTGGTAAAGGTTCTCAAATTGAAAGACAAGTGATCATCTATGCCAAGTTTACTCATTTTACAGAATTGGAAGCTGAAGCACAGCATGGAGTTAATCTGATTATCAATCATCACAGCAATCCAACTGTAATATTGAGCAATTATTTTTATCTGCTTAAATGAAATCAAACTAAATGGGCCAATGAAACTCAATTGTTCCAATGGTTTTATTATCCAAAAAGAAGTAGAAATATCCTGATCCAATAGGTCTAATATGAGGTAGAAGGTAGAAAGTATCAGTGAAGTATCAGTAGTTCTGTTAAGTTTTAGAATTGTTTAAAGTTTCAGCCTGCCTTAAGCCAATGAGAAGTAGAGAAAAACAATTGCTTTTATTTTCCTGACTGTAATTTTAACATTAAAGTGACTAAGTAATATGTGGTCTAAAGTATTAAAAAGCCTTGCCAGGGGCTGGGAAGATGCCTCAAAGGGCTGGAGGACATGCTTTGAATGTGGGAATTCTAAATTTAATCCCCAGTACCATGGTCCTCGGTGTGTTATTGGAAATAACATCTAAGAATCAAGGTCTGAGTAGCCTCTGAGTACTACTAGGTATTGCCTCTCCCAGAGAGATAGCCTTGTCATAGCTTTTTTGTAATATCAAAAGGGGGTGCAAGTAGGAAACCCTGTTTTTATGTTCAAATAAATGTCTCAGAACTTTGCAAGTGTGGTAGCCTGTCTCTCCCTGTTGACCCTAACAGACAGGGATGTCTCAGAAAGATAGATATGGATCCGAGGGGAAGAATTAGATTGTTTTTTTTTTTATTAGTGAAACACCATGAGGTACAGTTATAGACATACAAATTTTTTGTGCTTTGGCTTCAGTTATACAATAATCAAGTACCCATCCCTCCACTAGCGCCCATCCTCCACCACCACGGGTCCCAGCATCCCTCCCACCCCCCATTCCCCCCATCTCACCCTGCCTCTGTGGCAGGGCATTCCCCCTTGTTCTCTCTCTCTTCTTTTGGGTCCTGTGTTTTGCAAGAGAGGCATTGAGTGGCAATCATGTTTGGTCTATAGTCTACTTTCAGCATGCTTCTCCCACCTTGCAAGGATCCTCCCAACACCCTTTATTTGGTGCTCTCTTCTCTATCTGAGCTTCCTTTTCCCCTAGCACGTGTGGCTGCCTCCAAGTCATGGAGCAAAATTCCTGGTACTAATCTCAGCCACTCCTGGGTGTTTGTCTCCCATTTTGTTGCTTTATGTTCCCCAGATGAATGCAATCTTTCTGTGTCTGTCCTGCTCTTTCTGACTCAATTCACTTAACATGATACTTTCCAAGTAGTACCACTTGTATGTAAATTTCATGACTTCACCTTTTCTAACAGCGACATAGTGCTCCATTGTGTAAATGTACCAAAGTTTCTTTAACCAGTCATCTGTTCTCGGCACTCAGGTTTTTTGGCTCACACTTGGTGATGCTCAGGGGTTACTCCTGGGTTTGCATTCAGGAATCACTCCTGGAGGTGCTCAGGGGATCATATAAGATGCTGGGAATTGAACCCAGGTCGGCCGCAAAGCAAGGTAAATGTCCTACCTGCTGTGCTATTGCTCCAGCCCCTGGAATGTTCATTTTATAAAAACTGAGTTTTTGTTTGTTTGTTTGTTTGTTTTTGGTTTTTTGTTTGTTTGTTTGTTTGTTTGTTTTTGTTTTTGGTTCTTTAGGGTTTTTCTTTTCTTTCCTTTTTTTTTTTAAAGTTACAAGCTTTCATGTTTGGGTTGATCACTTGATCACTTGATCACTTGACATCCCTTTACTCATCAATTTGCTTGAGCGGCCACCAGTAACATCTCCATTCATCCCTGTCACGTGCTAGTGTAGCCCAATGGCTTCTGCTCATTCTAGAAACACGAAGAGCCTCAAAGTGACCATTCAGGGCCTTAACAAAGAAGTCTGACCATCTTGTAGGTGGGCAGCCACACGGTCTTTTGATATCCCATGGAATCCAGTCAGTAACGGCTCTAGTCCAGCGGTAGTTTCCAAATCATTACATGTCCAGCACATCTGATTTTAGATGCCTTGGCAAAAGAGACAGTGTACCTAATTCTTGACCGTCGACAGAGGTGGGAATTCCGGATTCTTTCTCTCATTTTGGATTACAATCACATAATGACCAAACACCCATCCCTCCACCAGTGCACAGTCCCCACCACCAATCTCCCCAGTCTAACCTCCTTCCTAGCCCTCCCCCTGCCTCTATGGCAGACAATATTCCCCATACTCTCTTTCTACTTTTGGGCACTATGGTTTGCAATACAGACACTGAGAGGTCATCAGAAAAATATGGAACGCTTCACAAATTTGCATGTCACCCTCGAGCAGGGGCCATGCTAATCTTCTCTATATCATTCCAATTTTTATATGTTCTGCTGAAGCGAGCACCATTTTATAAAAACTTGGAAAGAGTCTTTCTGAATTGAGTTTGAATTGGCATTTTATCTGAGTCCCATGGTAAGAATAGCTTGAGATTGTATCAATCAACAGTTGTCATTTCTGCTTAATTTTATCCAGGAGTATGGTCCTAATAACTGGTGACATGTTCTTTATCTATTTCTATGGCAGGCTAGGGCTGATATTTACTAAATATCTACTATATTCCAGCTATTGCAGACATCAACGTGTTCTGAAACACTCCAGTTATGTAATCCTCTATTATACTGTGAGAACCCATCCTACCATTGTCCCCATCTTAAAGCACCTTTCAAATGGTACTTTAAAAGCAAAGCCTATGCTTTGCAAGCATAAAGTTTGGGTTCAATTTTAACACCCCCCACATATATATGAATTAGTTATGCATATCAGAGCCAAACCTATTAGAATCCCAATCCTGTCTTCTTTCACCCTTAGTTCCTCTCCTACAAGTGGCTTCCTCTGACTTTACAGTCTATTTGGATGGTTATCTAGTTTCTGTAGATAGAAAGAATAGAGGTCTTTAACTTTAAATTCTAAATATTATGATTACTACTCCGTTATTTCTGCACATTAAATCTTACCACCGTGAACAAGTATTGAAAATGGGAACCAAAGTATCAGAGAATAGATATGAATTAAAATTCTGTATTTGCCACTTACAAGCTAAGTAACTTCAGTCCGTCTGTCTGAATATTAACCTTCTTATCTATTGAACCAAAGGCAAAATCATGGAAGCTTTTTAAAGGTTTCAATGAGAAAATGTCTCTGGCACATTGTGAGACTAGAACTATAATTTTTCCTTCTCTCTTTCATAAGCACACACTTTGGAGTGAATCTGGTTTATATCATAGCTTCTTCAATGTCTAAATATAGGACCTTAACTTCCCTTCCACTTTATAAAATGGTCCACAATAACATTACCCCTTATGGAATTGATTCTTCAAGGTATGAGTAGAGTAGATTATTAATATATGAAAGGTGCAAGCAGCACCTGCTTTATGATAAACTGCATATAAGTTAATTACATTTATGGTATCTTTCCTTCTTCCCTCCCTCTCTATCTTCCACCCTTTTTCCTCCAGATATCACAGAGGATCTCTTCCTGATAGCACAATCCATTTGGAATGATCAGTGTTCAGACCATTGATCTCCTCTCAGTATCAAAAGAGTTAAGATCCTTTCAAACTCAAATGTCTGAGCCACATGCTGCTCCCTCTCCTTTACAGAGGCTAAAGCCTTGATCATTTCTTAATGTAACTACTTCAGGAAATTTGTCGCGCTAATAATGTTAATATGCCTTATTTCTACACTGCTCACGCCCTGAGCTCTCAATCACTTCAAAACACAGTGATTGAAATTTTTCAAAAGTCTTTGATTTGGAAGTTGTTATGTAGAACACTAAGTCAAGTATAAATATGGCAGAGTGATTTAAGGCTGTTGGAGCAATCCAAATGTTTAAGCTTGTTTCAAATAATTATCAATCTTTCTGCTCTGCATTCTCAACACCCTGCTTCATTTGAAGGAGTGGTCCTCACTGAGGCCTGGAGCATACTGTTGAGGGTGCCAAGTACCTCTCTGTTCCTCGTACTGTATCTCATTGTCATAATCAAGTTATTAAATCCTTAATGGATGGTGCTGCTCCTGGCATTTGGCTCAGGTCAAGGAGAGAACTGGTCACCTACCCTCGACTCAAAGTTCCTTATCTGGGTAGATCAATTCAGACTGATTCTTCCCAAGACATAGCTTTGAGGATGTGTAGTGAAGAAGTGCCTCACCTCCATCAGTGCAGAAGCCCACATAGAGACCCTACCCTAGCATCCACTCTGAAATCCTGGTCTCCAGAAGGCAGACATTTACTATTCTGGCATAGGACATCTGTCGTATGCTCTAATTCCCCTGTCACTTCCACTTCTTGTCTTAACTCCTATGCTACCCTACCTACCTCCACCAACTCTGCTTAGATTGTGAGCTGAGGGCTTCCTGCTTTCTCTGCCTCAGTGTATATCACACACCTCCTTCATCCTGAGGTTTCTCTGACTATAAGTTCAGAGAAAACCCTACACCATACCAGCCATATGCATATACAGTTTGAAACCTAGGCTTATGAATGACAGAGGAACCACCTTGGACCAATGGAAGAGAGAAACTGGTGGATGAAAACATGCACCCTTCTTATGATCAGTTTTCAGTTCCACGAACTCAGTTAACTAAACTTTTCTGATTGCTCTGGTGGGATGAACAGCAGCAGCTAACCACCACCAGTAGTCTGTTCCTCAGAACACCCTCTATTATTCTTCCCTTCCATGCTGCTTCACTCCTTTAGATTTCTCTTGAACATCTGCCCTAACCAAATTAACTAACCACAAGCATCTCTGTTGCAGACTGTTTCCAGGGGGACTCTGGAATTGTCCATAGCTGGGATCAAACTTGGAAATGTCTCAATCTCTCCTGAAAACCAATTTGGATGGAACAAAGCACGAACAGCTTCCTGAGAACAAAAGGAACAGAGCCAGAAGCACCTGATCACAAAAGGACAAAGTGAGCCAGTTGTCTGAGCACAGAATTACCAGGGGGCAGTCCAAAGGGTCTGCATGACACAATTTGTCTCAACATCAAAGAACCAGTGAAACAGAGTTATTGCCGTAAAATTAGTTCAGATGGCTCAGTTGTCACATGCAGCAGACCCAGCTACCTGAGCAAGGCAAGCTCAGTAACTACTACCTCTTTGAACAGAAGCTGCAGGTAGAGAAGTTGCCTTCATATAAATTTTCCAAAGCCCAAAGTTTCCTCAGCCAGCAAGAATGACAGCATAAAGTATCTGGGATGGATGGCTGACCTCATTCCTACATCTTGTTTTCTCCTCCATGTACATCTAATCACACATTTTATCCTTCTTACTTGCAAAGAATACGAGAGGAAACTTGATTTTGGTGTCAGAGGACCTGATGGAAGGTCTCACTCTAGTCCAGGCTCTATCTGTGTGATTTGGGCTATTCATAGATCTGATGTAAAATATTTACCTCTTTACAAATAAGGAATAATGAAATATGAGAGTGATAGCAAAGTCCTCCATAAAATGGTGATGTTTGTATAACCAATAGTGCTATTCCCATTCTCCAGAAAAGAGTTATTAAACTGAAGCCCAAGATGAGAGTAAATGTCTTGCTATTGTCATTGTTCTAAAAACTATTGTTAAGCAAAATTTGTATACCCATAGTTTACAAAGAGTAGTCACATTTCCACACTGGTGGAATAATTTGATCTTGTCAAAAACTTAGCTAGCAAAATGTATCTTCACTCCTTGTTCTGGGGGCAGGAAACTGCAGTTGGGACGAAAGGCTGGACTTCCCACTGCACACATCTCCTCTTCCATATTCCTTCCCTGGAATGCCAGAAAGGAGAGTTGGGCTTCATGGCTGCATATTTTCCAGAGTTAATTGGAAGGAAATAATTCAAAGACACTGAGATGATTGTGTTCTGTCTGTCTCTTCTCTGGGGCAATCCTGGATAGAATTTTTATCATGTGGTTGCACAGAGAAGCTTCCTGGGCCTTTACTTAACTAATAAGACATGCCAGGTCCTGCATTTCTTAGACATTATGACGTGTTGGGGGTGGGAGGCTGGGGCTGAGGACATTGCTTTGGGTGATATTTCAGCTATTATAAAAATATCATCTATAAATCAAGATGAGAGTGGGGTCTAGTCAAAGGCAGATAACCACTCAGAAGGCATGCTGGCATGTCTGTGACATCACCTCCAGCAAATTCCACAGCTCATCTGACTTGCCAAATTTCTTTCAGAACTAAGAGGATTCACATTTAAAGTCGTTCTTAGGGTTTTGACATTGTCAGGGTTTATGAAGCTGGATGGTCAGTCATCTCCCTGAGTCCCTCTTGTGGTATAAACTGAGTGAATCCGGACTTAAAGGATCTGGAAGAGATGGTCTTCCAGCAAACCCATGCTTGCCATTGGGTAATCACTGGATTTGCACGTCTCAGGGTCTTGTGGGTTGTGGTTGTGGTTTTACAGTCTATTTGGGGGAGAGGCCTTTGCTCTCTGCCAGGTTAAATGAGTAGGAGGCTTTAGAGATGGCTGCTGAGCTGATCAGAAACAGACCTCTGGGCTGATCTGCAACTGGATCCCCGAGTCTGATGTTTCAGCCAAGGTTGGGAAAATCTAGTCCACACGCCTTGTCTCTTCAGGGTGTTCTCCTAAGCGGTATCCAGACTGTGATTAGGAACAGTCATAATTTCCAGAGATATTGACCTCAGGGAACTGATAATCTGGAATAAGGTATAAGACAAATACATTCAGATAAATCCAATATAGGGCAATAAAATGAAACCTAAGATTAAATCAAATTTACCTCTATTCTTAGTGTGCAGCAGAAAGCTGGGGTAACAGTTGTTCAGCTGGTATTGGTGGAAGGGATGAAAGTTCCCTGAGAATACAAAATGCTGAAAAAGTTTCACCGCTCAGATTTTTGTGTCTCCAGTTTTCAAGCTCTGAAAGATAAATGTGAAACTAACTTTCCTTGTCTTGTTTGCATAGCTAGAGTGAGAATTAAATTATGCTGTAAATTGTAAACTACTATGCAGTTTTAAGTGATTTGTGATGGAGGAAATAATCACACAGCCAGTTAACAGTAACCGGGATGACTAAAAGAGAAGACTCTTGAAAGTTTGGGAGGTTCATAAATATTTACAGCCTGTTTTCCCTCCTTTCCATCTCTACTATTAGAGTCTTGGACTAGACCCAGGTTGCAAAGAGGTTTCAACAATTGATCCTTTGATAGTGTTTGCCTCCCATACTCAGCTGAGTAGAATTATGAAATTCCATCTGGACTCAGTGGGTGGTGCCACGATCAGTTAATGATGTCTGCTGTCGATGTGGGTTGGAGAATAGCAGCATGTATGGTATTTATTTTCCTTTTTAAAATTTTGCCCACACCTTTTCTAATTCCATGCTAT